GAGGAAATCAGGGACCAGACCCGTGAGGTCGGAGCCGAAGTCGTCGAAGTGGGCCTCGACAACCTGCTTGCGCGTCCTAGGCACGCGGCCCCCCATTCTCTTCGCCTTCTGGTGCATGCGAACTGCCGTTGGGCACGCGCTGGTGACACAAGCCACTGGGTGGCTCCCGAAGTTGTTCGCGCGGTCCTGGGCGCGCTGCATGGCGTCGAGCTTGCGGTGAACCATGCGATCGACCATTGGACTAGAAAGCGTCCGAGTCCGGCGAGCAAACTGCCGTCGCGCCTCGTTGAAAGCGCACCTTCCGCGGCACGCCTACGCTGGGCGAAGCGCATCTGCAGCAATGCGCAAGTCGCAACACTTCGCCGCATACCATTGCCAAATACGTGTGTCGGCCGGCGCCTGTCAAGCCGACGACGCGCCGCCCCAGCTGGATCCGGCGCCGGCACTGCCGGGTGCAGAATGGCGCCCCGGTGAGCACTATGAAGACAAAGCTGCTATGCTTGGCCACCAGGGCCAAAGGCTCATAGCAAGCCCGATGCTTGCTGCAGCGAAGTACGTGGGCATAGAGATCATCTGCCCCGCTGCGTGTCATCTCCACTGGCAGCCACGCGGGCCACAGACCACGATCCTTGCGCATGCGTCTTTGACCTGGGCGCACCAGTCAGGGAGGGAGGGAGTCGAGGACACGGTGAACCTGGCCCCTAGTGGCGGCACACGTAAGCCAGAATACTGCAATTGGCGCTGGGCCACACGCTGTCGAACAACGACCGGATAGCACCCTCGACTCGAAATAGGAATAGGAAATGCGGATGACGTCGGACCCGTGTTCTTGTAGTGCTTGGGATGTGTCCCTTCCTCGTTCAAGAACCCACGCGTTCCAGGTCGGCGGGGACAGCCTGGAGGGCCAGCCCGGCCATTTCCTCGCGCGGCAGTTCCTTAGAGCCTTCGGCGCCGAAGGCACCGAGAGACCCCATCGGACGTCACGCTGCCTGCCTCTCTCGGGATGGAGTCCTGGCCGAGGAACGTCATGCCAGCATGTCCAATGCCTCCAGATCCACGAGCCGACGAAGGGAGATTGGGAACGACCAAGATCTCTGAATCGTCGATGATGCGTTCCAGGATTAATTGGGCGACGCGGTGGCCCTGCTCGACCACGTACTTCCGCTGGCCGATGTGCGGCATGATTACCTTGATCTCGCCGCGGAAGTCGGGGCCCACCACGCCGCCCACGACGTCGATCCCTCGAGTGCGAGACCTAGGCGATGAGCTCTACGAAGGCGCACGCCTGGCGGCGCTAGGGCTGCCAAGCCTGCCAACACCTGTCCACGACCGCAGGTCGCGATACTGACGTCCGCGCAGGCGCAGAGGTCGTAGCCTGCAGCCCCAGGCGCACCCTGAGAGGGTGCGCGTGCGTTGGGGTTGATGAGCTGAAATTCTGGCTGTCGTTACCCACCGCCAACAGCGTAAGCTGCTTGGGCGACAGGCCCTCGGAATACGGCTGAAGCTTGCCGAAGTCGTCGACAAAGACGCACAAGCGGCCGCTCGGCGCCGATCCTGGGTCAAAAAGGATGGCGTCGGGGCCCCATGTGCTGTCACAGCCGCCTGGCCCACAAAAAGCTAAGCGATCGTGGCCAACGCCTGTCTCCACCACCCCGCTGTTGGACTGCAAGAACTGCAACCAAACTGGGCCAGGAAGTCAGGGCAGGCGCCCACCACGGCAGGAGCGCGCGCGCTATGCTCACTGGCCACACCGTGGAAAGCCGTCGCGATAGGGCAGTGAACCTCCCAGTTCGCCACCTGTGACCCGATGCCAATTCCTGCTACGCACAGCGAGGTTGACAACTTCTCCTCGAAGGGCTTTCGCGTAGCCTGCTGGGCCTTGCGGGCCAAATTCATGGCGAAGCGCGTCCCACAGAGGTTCGTCCAGTCGACTATGACGCCCAACTGGCCACCTGACAGATTGGCGCTCGCCAGGTATCACGGCGAGTCGTTCGATGCACTCGAGCCCGTGCCCGATGAAGTCGGCCACCACGCGAGCCGACTGCAAGGCGGCACGCGCAGGCCCAAATGGGCGTCGCAGGGCACCGCCGCGCCCACTGCGGGCGCGAAGTTTGGACGCACTGCCCGGCGACTGAACGAGGCCTGGCTGCGGCGCCCAGGGGCCAGGGACCAGTCGAGGACACTGCGCGGCATCACGGTGGCGTCTCCCCCGGGACGCCTCCGTCTGCTGCCGCGCGGGCCGACGCCACAGGCACCGGACCCGCTGACACATGATCTGCGCCAGTGAAGCGGAAATTGGCGATGACGTCGGCCGGGCCTTGGCAAGCCGGACAGTGCACCAGTCGGGCGTCTGTGTCCTGCATCAGCTGCAGGCGGCACGCCTGGTGCAAAATGCGACGGCACTGTAAGCATGCCACCCTCTCGCCGTGCTGAAGGCCTCGAAGCAGATGGGACACCCATCATCGCCGCCAGTGAGAACCGCCACCGAGGGGGGCTCGGCAGGCGCTGCGGCTGGCACATGAGGAGGAGGAGGAATCCCACCAGCCCTCTGGGCGCAGGTGGTCTGAGGATGTCTTTCTTTCCTCTTCGAAAAACCCTTCTTCCCCTTCGGGGAGCGGTTTACCCCTCCCCCTAACCCCCCCCTGGACCTGGACGGAGGGGTTCGCGAGCGGTCAGGGCGTCCAAGACAGCCTGAAACGGCTCCAGGAAGGCCTCAGAGAGCCCAAGATGGCCTCCAGGATCGCTCAAGATGGACCACCACGGCTCAAGATAGCCAACACCATGCCTCCGAGAGGCCCCAAGAGGGCCACGAGACGACTCCAGGTGCTTCTGGACACCCCTCAGGACCTCCCCACGAAGCCAAAACCCTTCAAAAACCCGAGGGAAATCACTGATTTGTGCCGCGAGCCTCGCGCCGCGAGGCGCTCATGGGGCCGAGCGGCGGCAGGGACGGCAGCGGCCAGGGGCGGCCGCCTCCAGCGGCCGCGTGCTGGCGTCGGGGCCCTCGACGACCTCCGCGCTGCCCTCCGCGACGACGTAGAGCCCGTCGGTGGCCCCGGCCAGGCTCAGCTCCTGTGGGGGGTGGCGACATCCGCCTCCTCCTCCTCCTCCTCCTCCTCCTCCTCCTCCTCCTCCTCCTCCTCCTGCATTCCTTTTCCCTTGTGAATAACTTCCCCCTGTCGCACCCCGAGGACAGTTCGTTTCGCCTGAGATTTCCTCACCATTTACGACTATGAAGCTTGCAAAATGGCAACAGCTTCACAGATGAAGGGCAGGTGGTTTTCAGAACGTGGCTCTCGCCTTAGCGCCGTGCATATTCTTTTGAATGAACAATTGCAAGAGCTCGTTTCAAAAATTTGCAGCAAACAGTTTCACGGATTAAGGGCGAGTGGTTTTCTAAATGCAGCTCTCGCCTTGGCGCGGCGCACATTCGTTTCAAAAATTTGCAAGAGTTTCACGGATTGAGGGCGAGTGGTTTTCAAAATGTGGCTCTCGCCTTAGCGAGGCGCATGTTCGTTGCAGAAGTTTGCAAGAGTTTCACGCATTGAGGGCGAGTGGTTTTCACAATGTGGCTCTCGCCTTCGTGCGGCGCACATTCGGGAAAAAAATGCAAATGCTTCCCGGAATGAGGGCGGTTCCTTTTCAAAATGTGGCTCTCGCCTTAGCGCGGCGCATGTTCGCTTAACAAAAAAAACACGAGTTTCACGGATTCCCATCATCAACGTACCGGAAATGGCGTTTTAAAAGGATTCAAGATTATGCGGGTGCAACAGCTACGTTGATTCTCTGCGTTGAAGTCCTAGGAATGGCGTTCTGGCACGGTTCAGGATCATCAAGACGCAATAGCCAGGTTGATCCGTGGCGTTGGAATCCCGAGAACAATGTTTTGGTATGCTTCAGGGTCTTCAAACGGGTGTCTTCCAACGAGGCAGTTCCATCAATTGAAATGAACCGTTGTAGGGGCCTATGAAGAGAGAGCTTGGAGGTAGGATTTAATCCAACATCGTTGATGGCTCTTGGGTTTACACTGGTCCTCCTCCTCCTCCTCATCCTCATCCTCCTCCTCCTCCTCCTCCTCCTCCTTCTTTCGTTCGTGGGCGGTGTTCCGCCGTCGGGATGCGTTCCAGCGGCTGCGCCTCGCCGAGAGCGTTCCGGGGATGCCCGGATCGTCCCGAACGGCCGCTGGAGACCCGAGTTATAACCCGAAACCTGAACTCGGCGGCGCCGGGACTTCTCGGAAGGCGCCGGGACTTCTCAGTAGGCCTCGCGCCTTCTGAGGAGCTGTCTGTGTCTCCGGGGAAGTCTCAGGAAACTTCTCAGAAGGCCGGGGGATCTCCGAGCCTTCTGAGAAGGTCTTCTGCTCCTCACTTCTCCCCAAGGCTCGCCGCCGACGGTGGGGGGTGGCGACAACCGAAGCGTACAGCCATGGTTTGTGTCGTGTCGACCCCGACGTTGGTTCCTGGCGTCTCTGGAATCGTTCAACCTTGAACGATCGGCCGCTTCAGAAACGCCGAATCGTTCAACGATGGATGGGCCGATTCTGGGTCGCTGGCGGCGGTCAAAATTGAACGCCGGCGGCGGGGTCGCCGCCAGTCGACACGACGCAAACCTACCGTATGTGCTTTCGGGCCCTGCGAAACCGAAGCCGCTGCCACGCTGAGCAGCGCAGGGGCGTACACGCTAAGCATGGTCGGGTGAAACAGCCCTCCGATATGCACGCTAAGCGCGCCAAGACGCTGTGCGCATGATACACCCTCAGTGCGGAGCACTTAGCGTGTGTAGGCGCATTTCCAACTACACGCTAAGAAAGAGACCAGGACCGTACCCCATCCCACCCCCCAACCTTGATTCTCCCGAATCGATGGGAGGCGGGGGTGGAATTCGGAGTTCGCCTGGTCTTCGGCGAATTGAAAGCCCTGCCCCCGCAGCCCATCGAGTTGCCCGGACTCGTTGACCGGCGAGTGCAGGGTTCGGACTTCGCCGTCGACGTGGGGGGGTCTCCTCCTCCAGGGGGAGGGGAGTCTCCAGAGGCTCCAGATAACAACGAGGGGCTCCGAGAGAGAGGCACCAGGCCAACAGAGGAGATGCTCGTAACGGGCTAGCGGAAGCTAGCAACGCGAGAAGATGGGAGTGGGCCGATAGAACCTGCTGCCGAATGTCTCGCCAGAAGGCCCACGCCCACGGAGAAGGTAAGTACGCTTGCAGTGCCTTTGGGGATCCCAAGAGACAAAGAGAAAACTCGGCCGGGCGAGACTCGCTGGGCCAGACTGAACTCGGCCAGATGAACTCGGCCAGGCTGAACTCGGCCTGGGCCGAATTCAAACTGGCGGAGTTCAGCCTGGCCCAGATCAGACGGCCGAATTCGGCCTGGCCGAATTCAGCTGGCCGAAATCAGACTGAAGGGTTATCCTGTAGTGATCACGTGTAGGGACTTATGAGGAGGGCATTTGGGACAGAAGTGTGAAATGCAGCATCGTTGACGCATCTTTTTCATTTACCGCAGTCCTCCTCCTCCTCCTCCTCCCTCCCTCCCTCCCGCCCTCCCTCTCTCCCTCCCTCTCCCAAGGTTCTCTGCGTGATCTGCTTGGCACCCTAAGGCAGGTGCCGCATGGCAATATGCTTGAAGAGATGATGCTGACGATCGCCGCTGGCGGGGCATGGACCAGGCAGCGGTGCAAACATGCCTGCAGCGACCCCGACGGCGACGAGCTATGCGCCAGGTGCGGGCACGCCGTTGAGACCGATTTCCACAGGACCTGGGAATTCAAGGGTAACGTCGGGAGCAAGGCTTGAGCCACGAGTGCTCACCTCATCCCACGTGCCAGGGCCGGGGTGGAGGCCGTGCCGTGCCTCTGGCTGCGAGACATTCCTCCCGCGGCGTGGACTGCAGTGGCGGCGCCCCCCGGCCTGCGGTCCTGGGCCTCGGTGGGCTCCCGATGCAGGGGCCGCCCGGCTTGGGCGTGGTACGGCTGCAGCTCCCCTGTGCTCTTCAGCGACGCGAGCGGGGGCCCCGAGTCGAGTCAGGGACTCTGAGGCGGGTCGGCCTGGCAGCGTGCTGTCCATGCGGCGACACCGTCCAGCCCTGTGCGGCGCTGCCGGGGCCTCTGGCGGGCGAGCGGCAAGCTGCACGTCGCTGCGAGCTGCGGGCGCTGCTGCTGGCCGTCGAGTCCTCCGAGGGCGTCATGCTCTTCTACACGGACAACCTCGCCGTGCGCGAGGGGTGGTGGAGGCGGCTCGACCAGCGGCCCGATGGGCCCGACGCGGATCTCGGGCATCATCGGCCTGGCTCTCCATGGGCGTCGCCACGCCGCGGTGTCCGTGAAGCACGTCAGCTCGCACCTCACCGTCGAAGAGGCCCCAGCGCGGAGGATCCCTGGCGCCGCGCTGCGGGGCAACGCGGTGGCGGACCTGCTGGCCGATATCGCCGCCAGCGAGCGCGTCCCCGACGTGGATCGGGCCCGAGTGCTGGACACGGAGGCGGTAGCGTCGCAGGTGCGCTGGCCGCTCCTCCTTATGGCGCCCTGGACGCGGCGGCCACCGAAGGGCGCCGCCGGACGCGAGCTGGCCCCGATGGGGAGGCAGGCTGCGCCCGCGCCGCGGCTCTGCGCGACCGTCGCCTCGGCCGACCAGCTCGCCGACGACCGACGGAGCTGCCGTGCCTGCTGTGCTCGGGCTCGGACGAGGCCAAGACGGGCGTGCAGGCTGCAGGCGCCGTGCCGTGGGCTCCGCCAGTCGACCGAGCTCCCTGAGCGAGCTGGGCGGGCTGGCTGGCATGCAGGCGCAGACAGGGGGCCAGCGCGTCGACGCGTCGCACCGCCTCCGATCGCACCACGCGCCGGGCTGCTGGTTCTGCGAGCGCCTGTGGCTTCTTCGGGGCGCCTGGCGGGCGGCAGCCGGGCGGCGGGCTCAGGAGTCCGTGCCCGCCCGGGGGCCCCACCCACACGGGCTAGGTCTACCTAGGCCGCGTGCGGCGCGGGCTCTGGCACAAGGCGGGCAAGCGGGCCGTGGGGCGGCCGCAGGAGCTGGTCGCCGTCGAGGCCGCCGTGGCGAGCTCCTGATCCTACTCGTCTGCGCCGTCGCGCTCGACGTCGGCGGCCACGTCATCATCTTCCTCGGCCGAGCGCCCGTGAGCGCGCCGCCCGCCCAGTCGCGGGGCCGCGGGCTTCATCGCCAAACCGAAGCTTCGTGTCGGTCATAAACTCCATAGTCCCTCCCGCCCTCCCGAACTCTTCCCCACCTCCCGCTTGAGCCCATATCGCCCCCCCAGAAAGCCCGGAAGAAATCAACATGGAACTGTGAAGATCCCGCTGGAACCTCCTCCCCGTCCCCCCTCACCCCTATTTTCCCTCCTCCTCCCCCTCCTCCTCTCCCTCCTCCTCCTCCCTCCCCTCCTCCTCCTCCTCCGCCGCATCCTCCTCTCCATCCTCCTCCTCCTCCTCCTCCTCTCCTCCTCCTCCTCCTCCTTCTCCCTCCCTCATCATCCCCTCCACCTCCTCCTCC